GATAGATAGATAGATAGATGGATGGATGGGTGGGCGGGTGGGCGGGTGGGCGGGCAGACAGACAGACAGACAGACAGACAGACAGACAGAGAAGCTGAAGTTATTGTGGGGAAGGAAGCAAAGGACCAAGAGGCCATGAGGGTTATGATGGTGGAAATGGCCACAGAGGAGTATATGGCAGAGACCATGCTTTGTATAATGCTTGTCATCATTTCCGTGCAGTGGTGTGGTTATAATGGGCCTTGCCAATATTTCTGGGGTGACTTTTCAGGCAGGGGCTCTCTGAGAAAATGAAGCCGTCATCTTTTCTCATTTTGTGATGGCAGAATTCAACTCTTAACCTTACAGCCCAACAGCCCTACCTACCATCCTTGGCACAAAGCCTTAGAAATTTCCAGACGATCAGGAGTGTATTCCTAGAAGAGCATCGTGGCCTTCTCTTACTATCTCCTCCCCCACCCTCCCTGTCACACCCACAGATTGCCCCAAATTCTGCCACACCTGCTCATCACCCGGGACCTGCATCACCTGTCGGGAAGGCTGGCAAAAGACCAAGCTCGGGAACTGCATTCTGCACAGCGAGTGTGCGGCCATTGAGTACTGGGATGAGGCGGGGCACAGGTGTCGGCCGTGTCACCACAAGTGCTGGCACTGCTCAGGGCCCAGGGAGGACCAGTGCGAAGCCTGCCCCAGGCCCAGCCTTCTTCTCAGTAAGTGACCCCCACCCCATCCTCCTCTGCCCTCAGGAAGGCGTGGCTTTTCTCTCCCTCTTGGGAATCTACTGGCCAGATGCCTGATGCCTGGTGGAGATCAGCTTCCTGTTTAGTAAATGGGGGGGGGGGAGGGAACACGTGCAAGTCTACAGAAAAGATCCACGACTGAGAAAAGTACATAGATGACCCTCACCCCGATGCCCTTTTTCCAGGTTGCCTACTGTGAATCTTTGATCCACTGATGATCCCTCATCCTTAATCCATAACATTTCCTTACTTGTGGCACATGGTTGCTGAGCTTCCTGACATAACACAGGACAGTTGTCAACACTAATCAATGTACATTGATGCAGTACTGGAACAGACCCCTGGCTAGACTTCCATCTAGGGTTAGCCATTGCATTGAGCATTCTTGTCTCTTCAGCCTCCTTCAGTCTGCAGCACTGGCACAAAACTATCTCTGTCTTTTGTGATAGCGAGTCCCCGTCTCCCCTTGGGGGCTGGTGTGAGTTTACTTAATGACTGATAGAGATTATGCATTTTCAGCCAGAGTCGATGATATTGTACCCCCTATGCATATGATATCCACCAGCGTCTTATCCCTGGTATAAATGTTGATCATCTGGCCAATCTCCCTACTGCGTGAGAAACTGATTACTATTGATCCCCTTGTAATGAATGAACAGTCTGTGAGACACCTTACACACATGTTCATATTCAACTCCTCATCAAAATTTCCCCTTCACAGCTGTTGATTAACACCTTTTCTTGGCTACATATGATGGCATTATATATACCTGTAATCTCAGTGTGCGGGAGACTGAGACAGGAAGATTGAGAGTTCAAGGCTAGCTTGAACTATATAGTGAGACTCTGTCTCAAAACGAATCAAAATCATCTCCAGCCAGACACTGGTGACTCATCCCTGTAATCCTAGCTATTCAGAAAGCTGAGATTTGAAGCTCATGCTTTGAAGCTAGCCGGGGGCAGATACATTTGGGCGACTTATTTCCAATTAGCCGGCAAAAAGTCAGAAGTGGAGGTGTGGCTCAAGAGGGAAAAAAAATTAAAACAACTACTCAAGAGTGTAAGGCCCTGAGTTCAAGCCTCAGTTTTAAAAAAGAAAATCTTGAACAAGCATCGTCCCAGGTTGGCTCCCTTCAGCACATTTAGTCTGAAGGTGATTGCTAGTATAAAACAAGTCCTAAGGTGTTCAGCAAGCCATGGTTGGGCTTAACACCAGCACAGAGAAAAGACAACTGAATTCCACCAAAACCACCAGACGTGAAGGAGCTGAACTTCCCCGAGAGCATGGGGAAGACCGGAGAACGTGTTCACAGCTCTCCTCCCATCAATACACAGAGTCTCACCATGGAAACAAGGGGAACGTTTTCTTCCTCTTCCTGGGACATCTCTATCCAGGGTCTCCTTCTCCCACTACTGCTCCAGGCTGATTCCAGGCTCTCTGCACGCCTGCAGTCTTCCAGCCAGATCTATTGGGAAAGCGGGGAGGGAGGGGAAAGGATCGGCATCAGCCCACGAGGCTGTGGTGTCTCCCAGCAAACACACCTGGTCTGGGAGCCATGGGGCCGGCTAGCTGTCAAGGTGGGCTCTTCTATTCTCCCGCAGACTCGACGTGCGTGGGGGACTGCCCAGAGGGCTACTACGCGGAGGAGGACAGCCATCGGTGCGTCCCATGCCACAGCTCCTGCAGGACCTGTGAAGGGAAGCACAGTCTGCAGTGTCTCTCCTGCCGGCCTGGCTGGCTCCAGCTGGGCAGAGAGTGTGTGCTTCGGTGCAGGGATGGGTAAGAGGCTCAGCCCAAGCTCCCCATTGGATTCACACAGCAGCCCACTTTTCAGATCGGGAGACTGAGGCTCGGCACTAGTATACCCAGCCTCCCTGCTCATGAGAAGCAAAGACGAGTCCGTTCACAACAACAGAAGAGAAACAGGAGAGGCAGATGCCCCAGTGGAGAACACAGATGGTTAGAGGGTCCTGCCTGAGTCTCAGGCCTTCATGCCCAGCCTCACTGATCACAAGGCGCGTCAGTAAATTTCAGGCTGAGACAACACCTTCTCTTTGAGAGCAGCCTGCCCGGTAGTGGATATTCTTTTCCTTCCGTTCCAGGATTTGTTCTGCTCCGGGTAGAATATGGAGGATGTAATGTGAGAGATACGCTGATGTGCTCCAAGGGCTCGATTTCAGTTAGCATCTCCATTTATTCCCATTCATCTCCACCCTAGCATGCCTTCCGTAAATCCACACATTCCAAGCTGCTTCACTGAGGACATACTATATACACCGTGATGGATCACTCTAGAAGCATTTTGCAGATAGGGATTCTATTATTTTTCCTTTAAAAATGTTATATTGTGGCGGGGCACCGTTGGCCCACGCCTGTCATCCTAGCTACTCAGGAGGTTGAGATCTGAGAATCACAGTTCAAAGCCAGCCCAGGCAAGAAAGTCTGTGAGACTCTCATTTCCAGTAAACCAGAAAACTGGAAGTGGTGCTGTGGCTCAAGAGGTGGAGCACTAGCCTTGAGCTGAAGAGCTGAGGGATGCGCCCAGGCCCAGTGTTCAAGCTCGTAGCAGACCAAAAAAAAAAAAGTTGTGTTGTTATTATAAAGGTGATGTAAAAGGGGCTACGGTTATATAAGTCAGGTAATAAGCACATTTCTTTTTGAATAATGTCACCCCTTCCCCCACTCTTTTCCATTTTTTCCTCCCATCCCCCACCCACAAGTTGTATAGTTCATTTTCACACAGTGTCTAGTGGGTACCACTGCTGTATTTGTTCACCCTTTATCTCTCCATTTCTGTGTCCCCCCTCTTTACCATCTCAAAGACAGATAAACTAAAGCAAGCAAGATAAAAAGAAAAGACGGACAGCAACATTGAAACCCTCTTGTTTCCACTTCCTGGAGTTCGCTTCGATAAATATTATTTCATACGGTCAGAGGCACCGGGCGTGATGCCTTTGTGTTCCTCTCCTAAGAGTGTCCCCCTTTGGTCTCACTGGGTGTGAATGCGTGGAGAAGGATTCTATTATTTTTTCAGTTAAGAAAAGCTATAAGTGGTTCATCAGAAGGTCTGATTCCAGCAGACCAGGACGAGGCTTCAATAAAGTCTGTCTGTTGCCCCTCCCACCACCAAGCATCTCAGAAAAGACAAAGATTGTTAACTTCCTCGTCTAAACCAGGAGCCTAAGAAAGGACCTAGGGGGAGGGGAGGGGGGAAGGGCACGGGGTGGGGTACAGACCCGCATCAAAAGATCCCGTCTTCAGGTCTTCCTTAGATGCTGTCTAGTCTGCAGTGCTTACTTCGGCTTGTTTCATTCATTTTAGTGTGACACACTGGGATGCATTTTTATTTACCTCATTTATTGATTGATTAATTCATTTATTATACATTTAATTTAAAATGTAAAGCCAGGCGCGGTAGCTCCCACCTGTAACTCTAGCCAATCAGGAGGTTGAGATGTGAGGAACATGATTTAAAGCCAGCTCGAGCAGGAAAATACTTGAGATTCTTATCTCCAATTAACCACTAAAAAAGCCAGAAGTGGAAGGAGCTGTGGCTCAAGGGATAGAGTGACATCCTTGAGCTAAAAGTGCTAACAGATGGCACCCAGGCCCTGAGTTGAGTTCAAGTCCTAGCACTGGTGAATTAAGACAAATACTTTGACTTTCCAAAGCTTATCCTTATCATTATAAGCTGGGGGGGGGGGGGGGAGGGAATGTCTTATTTTTCACACATGCTACTCTAACATTCTACACAGAGTCCCGCACATTAGCTGCAATCCAAAACACCAGCCACACAGATCAATGGAGGAGGATCCTGCTAGATGGGGTGGGGAGGGGCTGCCTGGCCAAGTCCCCAGCTTCACACTGAACAGTATTTGAAAAGCTCTGGATCCCATGTGTAGATCTTCATTCTTCCCCAGATCCAGTCATTGAGACCCCTCACACACACACACACACACACACACACACACACACACACACACACACACACACGCAGATGTCATGCTATGGTTTGAGCTAAGGAACCGATTGTCTCCCAGTGTATGCAGCGACCCTAAGGAGATGGAAAGAAGAGGGGAAGGACTGGTCAAGTGCAGGTGGAGATGCATTCCTCGTAGAGTCCATGTCCACATGTCAGGCGTTGGACCCGTGTGGTGCATCTCTTTGCTTTGGACAAGCGGGGATATAACCTTCTGCACTCTGTCCCAACACACATCTGGAGATTTAACTTCACAGAATGTTCTTTAAGAGTGCTGGTGCGTGGGATTCTGCACGGCTATGAGGCTTGCGGGACCCCACGGACCTCCCAGCAAGCAGTTGGGTAGACTGTTCTTTCTCCTATATGTTCTAGCAAGCTCTGCATTGTCATTCTTTTCGCATCACTCTTTGATAATTGTGTGTGTGTGTGTGTGTGTGTGTGTGTGTGTGTGTACTGGTACTGGGGCTTCACGAAACTCAGGGCCTGAGTGCTGTCCCTTAGCTTTTTCAATCAAGGCTGGTGCTTGACTACTGAGCCACAGCTCTCTTCTGACTTTTGGGTGGTTAATTGGAGATAAAAGTCTCACAGACTTTCTGCCCAGGATGGCTTCAAACTGCAGTGGTCAGATCGCAGCCTCCTGAGTAGCTAAGACTACAGGTGTGAGCCCCTGGCACCCAGCTGATAACTTTTAAGACATACCTTGAAATAATAACCTTTTTGTCCTCCCCTATATAATTCTATAGATGCTTTTCATCTGTATAGTTACAATAGCATAATGTCATTTAAAATAATTGTATGCTGACTCAGAGTTTGTAAAGCATTTCTACTCATAGTGTATCTGTGCACTTTGATTTGATTCTAGAACAATCTCTTGAGCTTGATTAGTCTCTCCACCTGACAGATAAGAAAACAAGTTCAGAGCAGTAAAGGAACTTGCCCAATGTACTATAACAACTAACCCAAGGTAGACTGCAGCCTGAAAGTCTGGAGCGTCTGACCCAGCCCCGGCTCCTTCTGCTGTGTTTGAGTCTCTCTTGTTCCTGTGGCTTCCTTTCCCTTGAGTCATCTGTGGTCTGAGCCAAATACTCACTTCATGATGGATGCTTTCTTTTCATTCTATTATGTCTCAAATACTTCAGTCTTCAGATTGCCTCCAAGAAATAATTACACTCCAGCCAACTGCAATTGTGTCTATGAAATCCTCCGAACACGGAGGCTCACAGCAGCAATTTCATAAATGGTGATTTGTTTTTACTCCCAGCAACCATTACAAAGCACTTTATATGTATTTCATAAAGACTAACCTCACTCATGTCACCCCCTGTTTCAAGATGCTTTTTAAAATGGAAGTTAGAACCACTCAGGGGTACATTGAAACACACTGAAAGAGGAAGCAGTTGTGTATGCTTATAATCCCAGCATTTAGGAGGCTGAAACAAAAAGATAAAGCATTTGAGGCCATCTGGGGTACATGGTGAATGTATGTCTGGATATATAGTTGAAACTCTGTCAAAGGGAAGAAAGAAGGAAGGAAGGAAGGAAAGAAAGAGAGAGAGAGAGAAAGAGAGAGAGAGAGAAGATGGGAGGGAAGGAGGGAGGGTGGGTGGGTGGAAGGAAGAAGAAAGAAGACAGAAAGAAAGGAGGGAGAGAGGAAGAAAGACAGGAAGGCA